GGCCCTTTCCATATACGCTTGAAAACTATGCGACCAGCATGGTAAGAAGACTTACTTATTTCAAGGACAAAGGAGATAATCTTTTCGGGCCATTTTTTATATAGCCTTGTCTGAGACCCTTAAGCTGACCTTGGCCTGCCGGGGCCTTCTAATTTTTTTCCATTTATTTAGATATCTAATTGTCTTCTTAGGGGTCTCGGGAACAGCTTGCTATTGCTGAGTTTGCAAGATCTCTTTTGTTATTCCTAATACACTGGCATCTAATTGCTGGGCCAGGAGCTGCCAGAGATGCGCTGGTTGGCAAAGCTAAGAGCTTTTCATAAACGAGGCTCAAGTAACGGCCAGAACGGATTGGTCTTGATTTGATCAATGGTAAACCTCGAGACAACAAACAAGCTGGTGTGTTTGAACCAACCATAGTTAAAGTTAAGAGTTTGAAATTTGCTACAGAAGCTGCAATTACCATTCTGCGAATTGATGATCTTATTAAGTTACATCCAGAAAGCAAAGATGATAAACATGGAGGTTATGAAGATGCTGTTCACTCTGGAACCCTTGATGACTAATCTGATTCTTTTATTTATAACAATGTTAGATGCAATTGTCTTGTACATTGAGTATTACACATTAAAGTACAGTAAGCTGTCAGCTTGGGTTCACATAGGAGATGGTTTCTTTCCTTGCTTTGGTCCTCTTATTTCACATTTTATAACTTAGTACTTTATTGGTTTAAAGAGAAATGAAGTTTCAAGTTTAGTTTAAGCAATTCCTCCTCTCTGAACACACATTGCTATTCCCATCCCACCCCCGATGCACAGGGCTGCAACACCACGAGTTCCGCCTGTTCTCTCCAGTGTGTGTAATAGGGTCACAAGAATTCGGCAGCCAGATGCTCCAAGAGGGTGGCCCAAGGCTATAGCCCCTCCTTGAATGTTGACCTAAGGGGAGAAAATATTTACCTTAGATTTTTTTATGGCCAATAGCTGGAAGATATTACCATTTTTGATCTTAAGATTGCATTGTGAAATTGATTGGCAAGGTCTCCTGGGGAATACTTGCTCATATTTACCTTCTCTGGGTTTAGTCCAAGTTCTTTAGCTATTGCAACAGAAAGGGCTGCAAAGGCTTCATTGATTTCGAATACATCAACATCCTCCAGTGACCAACCTGCTTTTGCAACCTAAAGGAAAGATTAAGAGGCCTCAGAAATCAGACTAAAGTTAAGCCCTTTATTTCTTCATTATAAACATAGATACTAAAAAGCCTGCTGCACAATATTAAAGGATCTCTAAAAATGGCTGCTTTGGATTCCTAGTTTAGCCCAGTGATATCTCAGGTTTCATCCAAAAGGTTAAGGATGTGCCCTAAAAGATCTTAGAAATTTTAAACTGTTGGGTGGGTATGGCGGCCCAAGCTTGTAATCCTAGCACTTCAGGATGCCAAGGCAGGAGGAGCACTCAAGCTCAGGAGTTCAAGACCAGCCTAAGTAAGAGTGAGATCCCTGTCTATATAAAATAGAAAAAAAATGATGGGCATGGTGGTGCTCACCTGTAGTCCCAGCTACTTGGGAGGCTGAGACAGGAGGATGGCTTGAGCCCAGGAGTTTTAGGTTGCTGTGAGCTAGGCTGACACCATGGTACTATAGCCTGGGCAACAGAGTGATACTGTCTCCAAAAAATAAATTTCTAAACTCTTAAATTTTGAACTAATTGTATTTGTTACTTGTATATAATCATTTCCTTTAAAAAGCATGATTTAAATGTTCTTGGCTACTCTTCCTGGTAGAGAAAGACTAGAGACACAACTAAATGAACAACCTCATTTAAAGTTTGACAAGTTTCATAAAAGAGGAACAGCAAATAAAACCTGATCGGAATAAATAAAAAACCAGCCCAGGCTGGGGCAGTAGCTCACGCCTGTATTCCTAGCACTCCGGGAGGCCAAGGCAGGCGGATTGCTCAAGGTCAGGAGTTCAAAACCAGCCTGAGCAAGAGTGAGACCTCGCCTCTACTATAAATAGAAATTAATTGGCCAACTAATATATATAGAAAAAATTAGCCAGGCATGGTGGCACATGCCTGTAGTCCCAGCTACTCGGGAGGCTGAGGCAGTAGGATTGCTTGAGCCCAGGAGTTTGAGGTTGCTGTGAGCTAGGCTGACGCCATGGCACTCACTCTAACCTGAGCAACAAAATGAGACTGTCTCAAAAAAAAACAAAAACAAGCACAGTCACAACATTTTAGAGTAGAAAGGAAATCTGAGCAAAGGTTTATGACGGGAGGACTTAATATAAAATTGCAGATTATTGCTGTGGTCCCAGAAAATTAAAAACAAAGCAAAGGATGAGATCTAACAGTTAACACTCACAGCTTGTTTTATGGCTGGGATTGGTCCTGCTCCCATAATGGAAGGGTCCACACCTGCTTGTGACCAGGAAATTATCTGTGCTAAAGACGTAAGCCCACGCTTATCAGCTTCTGATTTCTTCATAAGAACCACAGCTGCAGCTCCATCATTGATTCCTGTAAAATATCAATGACTAATTTCCATGATGCTCATTCACCTCAAGTACATATCTGTGGCTACTTTCTTTTCCACCTGAAGACATGAGTTGTATCTTGGCAAAGCTATTTGTCATAATTCAATAGACTACTGTGTAGTTAGAAATAGTTAAGTTTGGTAATATGATGATTGGCTAGAGAAAGTGGAGAGGTTATAGCAGTATGGGAGGGAAGGTTTTCAAGAAAATGTAAGAAATAAGCCCAGGCTTCCCAAAGAGGTATTGAGAGTTTCCAGTATTGGAAACGTACAAAGATATATAAAAGTTCCCTAAATTCCTTTCTCGTTTGTATGTCTAGTTGGGATGTCAAGAAACCAAATCAGTTCTTTCAGTATGGGTTTAAGTCAATGATCAAATATAGAGAAACTACGTTTTCCTTAAACTGAGCTTTAAAAATAATTTTCTATATAAAATTTTTTTTGAGACACAGTCTGACTCTGTTCCCCGGGCTAGAGTGCCATGGCATCAGCCTAGCTCACAGCAACCTCAAACTCCTGGGCTCAAGCAATCCTTCTGCCTCAGCCTCCCAAATAGCTAGGAATATAGGCATGCGCCACCATGCCCAGCTAATTTTTTCTATGTTTTTAGTTGGCCAATTAATTTCTTTCTATTTTTAGTAGAGATGGGGTCTCACTCTTGCTCAGGCTGGTTTTGAACTTCTGACCTTGAGCACTTCGGCCTCCCAGAGTGCTAGGATTACAGGCATGAGCCACTGCGGCAGGCCTATATAAATATTTAAATAAAAGAAAAAAAATGGTATTCACTTGGTAGACCTTGCAGAAGATGGAATTCCCCCAAATGCCCTTCAGAAAATCTAACCTGAAGCATTAGCTGCGGTCACTGTTCCTGTTCCATCTGTAAGAAAGTAAGGCTTTAGCTTGGACACGGCTTCCATGTTGCTCCCGTGGCGAGGAAACTCATCTGTTTTAACTTCAATAGGACCTGAAAAATGGAAAACCAAGATTAGTACAGAGATGGAAGTGAGTGTGCTGGGAATAGGGTTCTCACACATGGGACATGAGGATTCATATTTGGTAGAAAAGTTAATTTATAACTACTTTCATTCCAATAGGAGGAAAGTACACACTACCAAGAATTACTGTCTGTTAAAACATTTTATGAGAACTGAGCTAATAAGACATTTTCAATGTTATCCAAATTCCTACCCCTTCCTAAAGTAGTTAATAGGGAGCTGTTTGTGCAAAAGGTTGCTATGGTTTGGATCATAGCACTTGGTGGTTACAACTGAGTGGATTAGGGAGCCTCAAAGCCAATCTTGTAGAGGCTAAACATAAGAAATGTCTGTTATCAATAACAGAACTTGGCTAGAGCATTCATTTGTCAATTAAAATTGACAAACGACCCCAAAAGATCCACCCTCTAGAAACGTGAATGTGAGATGCACACAGAAGGAACAGGAAGTAGTGGATGTTCACTTCTGAGAAAGTTTAGCCTGTATGGGGAACAGGTCAGCTGTTGCCTCCTAGCAACCATGAGCCAATGCTCCAGTTTCTCATGAAACCTGCTGAATATACATAGCAGCCTCGGACACTCTTGGACCAAGAATTTCTCAATGCTGGCATACTTCCCCATGTTACGGCATTCCATAACCAGCCCTCCTACACATTCACGTATCCAGGACATATCTTTGCAACCTTAAAAACATAACTAAGATGTAACTTATAATTCTTTTGGATTTTACTCTGAACTTATAAATAGGCTGATGTTTAAACAATTATAATTTACATACTCACCTTTTCTAGAAGACACAAAAACTGGTACAATCTCTTTATCAAAATGACCAGCTTTCTGTGCACTCTCTGTCCTATTCTGAGACAGAACTGCAATCTTGTCCTGATCTTCTCTACTCACTTGCCATTTTTTGGCTACATTTTCAGCTGAGAAAGGGGGGAAAAAGCAAAAACCCAACATGTTAATAAACTGGCTTTTGGTAGCTCAAGTTATCCACATTTAACCAAGCACTGACTACACACACTAGCATGCTCACAGGTGGGCTAAAAGGCAATGCTCTGGGTGGAGTCGTCCTGCCTTCCACTAGCAATGGATTTAGAAATGTTACAGTGACTCTCAGGAAGCCATTTTCTTTCTTTCTCTTTCTTTCCTTTCCTTTTCTTTCTTTCCTCTTTCTTTCTTTGTCTCTATTTCTCTCTTTCTTTCTTCCTCCCTTCTCTTTCTTTCCTTTCTCTTTCTTTCTTATTTCTTTCTTTCCTTCCTTCTCTCTCTTTCCTTTCTCTTTCTCTCTTTTTCTTTCCTCTCTTTTTCTTCCTTTCTTCCTTCCTTCTCTCTTTCCTTTCTTCTTTTCTTCCTTCCTTCCTTTCTTCTTTCTTTCTTCTTCCTTCCTTCCTTCTTTCCTTCTCTCCTTCCCTTTCTATATAATTGTAAACTTTCAGAAATTTCCTTTATCCAGATTCACTGTTTTTATTTTTGCCCTTTTTGCTTTAACATTTCCTTTCTGAACCATTTGAGAGAAAGATGGAAATAGCAATGCCCTTTTGCCCCTAAATTTTAATTTCAGTATACATTTCCAAATAACAAGGTCATTTTCTTACATAAGCACACTTATAAAAATCAGGAAATTTAACATGCATTCAACTATTATCTAATCCTTGGTCCACTTCAAATTTTACCTATTGTCCCAATAATGTCCTTATAGCTCCTTTATTTGTTCAATCTAAGACGCATTTAACCATCAACCTCTTTAGTTTCCTTTTATCTATAACAGTTCTTCAGACTATGTTCGTATTTCTTAAGCTTGATATTTTTGAAGAGCCTGGGCCAGTTCTTTGGTTTATTTTTATTTTTATTTTTTTTTATTTTAAGACAAAGTCTCAAAATAAAAAAAACAACAAAGTCTCACTCTGTTGCCCAGGCTAGAGTGAGTGCTCTGGCGTCAGCCTAGCTCACAGCAACCTCAAACTCCTGGGCTCAAGCAATCCTCTGCCTCAGCCTCCCGAGTAGCTGGGACTACAGGCATGCGCCACCATGCCTAGCTAATTTTTTGTATATATATTTTTAGTTGGTCAATTAATTTCTTTCTATTTATAGTAGAGATGGGGGTCTCACTCTTGCTCAGGCTGGTTTCGAACTCCTGACCTCCAGCGATCCGCCAGCCTCGGCCTCCCAGAGTGCTAGGATGACAGGCCTAAGCCACTGCACCCAGCCAGTTCTTTGGTTTAAATGTCCCCAATTTGAGTTTGTCTGATATTTCCTCAAGATTAGATTAAGATTATTCAGAAAGAGAGGCATACCACCGAATAATTAATGGTACGATCTCAGTGAATCTTTTTTTTTCTGAGACAGGGTCTTACTCTGTCACCTAGGCTGGAGTGCAGTGGTGCGATCAGAGCTCACTGCTAACATTCTCTGAAGATCAAGGATTGACAAAGTAGAGAAAGACTACTCACTTCACTTCAGTTCATCAACAAGAAACTGTGCCTGTCAGCAGGGATACTAAAATGCTTACGACAGGGTCTCCACACACAGGAGGAAAGCAGATTATTATATAATCTTTTTCAACCTTTTTAAAGTTAATATATTTTCAGCTATGTTTGCCTTACCTGTAATACCCATATGATAGTTGTGAAATGCACAGGTAAGACCATCACAGAGTATACTGTCAGCTAGTGCCGACTCACCAAGCTTTACTCCTGTTCTCAAGTGAACCAAGTGGGGAGCCTAGAAACAAGAAATAAAAACAGATTTAGGCTTGGTTGTAATTAGTCATCTCCTTAGAATCCTACTCAAAACTAGTTTTTCCTCAGTTTTCATCCAGTCCCCTTTGCAGCCCTTCTCCCCAATTCTAGCTCCTCCACCAGGCCAGAACCTGCAGACCCCTGGAAATAGCAGACTACTCCCTCCTGCCTGCTCTTGGGAACCCATTACTCTCCTACCTACCTATTTCTCATTCTCGCTCAAACCTATTTATTCTATGTCCTATTTCATTAAGAATCCCATTTATTCTTTCCAAAGAGGCAACTAATTATCTGATAAATGAAAAACTCATCTAAGTGCTTAAGTAATGCTAACAATGTTACTTATTTTAATAGGAGATATAGTGCCTATAATGAGAATAAATCAAGTTGCCTAATTAACTAATGAGGAGGGGTTTCTGAGTAGGTGCTGTTCTTAATTCCTATCAACTCAATAGTAACTATAACAGAATAGAAAGAGTATTGGGGCCGGGCGCTGTGGCTCACGCCTGTAATCCTAGCTCTTGGGAGGCCGAGGCGGGCGGATTGCTCAAGGTCAGGAGTTCAAAACCAGCTCTGAGCAAGAGCGAGACCCCGTCTCTACTATAAATAGAAAGAAATTAATTGGCCAACTGATATATATATAAAAAATTAGCCGGGCATGGTGGCGCATGCCTGTAGTCCCAGCTACTCGGGAGGCTGAGGCAGGAGGATCACTGGAGCCCAGGAGTTTGAGGTTGCTGTGAGCTAGGCTGACGCCACGGCACTCACTCTAGCCTGGGCAAAAAAAAAAAAAAAAAAAAAAAAGAAAGAGTATTGGACTTAGAGTTAGAAAAGCTGCATTTGAATGATGACTCTAGGCCTGTTTCCTTACCTATAAATTGGAAATATCACCTGCCCTATATGGGCTGTTGTGAGCATGTACAAAAGTACCTGGTAAAGCACTACACTGATACTAGTATTGTTCAGTCAAAATCACTGATTGTTTTGCTGCCATCAGCTTATCTCCTCTTAAGCCTCAACAATGCCTGGGCTGATCAGCCTCTAACCAGGGAATTCCTGGGTCACACCCTGAGCTGTCTCAGTAGGAAATAGGGGATATATTATACTTTTTCCTTTTCATGGCTGTACCAATTTGAGGGATGGAATGCAGTGAAACAAATCCCACCTGGCAAACCTATTGGAGAAGGGCACTACTCAGTGGTCCTCTTTTCCATGTTTATACCTTGCAAAGGTTAACAAAGTCTGGTCCCTGGGATCTTCCTTGTCATGTACAGGAAGGTAAGTGGCAACATCTGTTTTTGCCTTTTACTCACAATGAGAAAGAAATTTAAAACCAACTGTATTAACCAACTAACATTATGGGCTTAATTCAGAAAATATTTTATGCTTCATTAACAACAGTTTAGAAAAAAATATTCTGTTCCAATCACACTGGCTGATAGGCTTTTTCATCAACCTGGATTTCCCATCCAAATTGAAGAATAATTAACGTTCAGGTAGGGCTCAAGATTGAATCTATTTTTGTTTCTTTCTTTCCTGTTTGGTTCCAGCTCTGATAGGCATCAGTTTACTTTGCTGTGGCAGACATGAGTTTCTCAGAGAGAGGTCAGTAAGAGCTATCTCTGCAGAGGCCTTACTTACCTTGCTCATATTTTCCATGCCTCCTGCAACCACAATGCTGGAGTCTCCTAACCCTATGGACTGGGCTGCAAGGCACACGGCTTTTAGGCCTGACCCACAGATCATCTGGCAGCTCCACGCTGGAACGGAGTAGGGAATTCCTGCACCCACACTGGCTTGTCTCACGGGATTCTGCCCGCAACCTGCAAGAAGGAACACAGAGGCCTGCTGGCAATCAAGGAGAAAGACAAAATGTCAGGGCGAAAGCGTGTGCAAAATTGCCACCTGGGTCACCTGCCATTTCTGAAAGTCTGCAGGCCAGCTAAGTTGCCACCAGAGGCAAGAAGCCCTGTCTACATTCTCCACCTGTCACAGTCTAGCCCTTTAAAACACACTGCCTTGTGTTGCTCTCTAGGAATTTCATAGATATTAAATATAAGCTTTCTCCTCCACAAAAGGTTATTAATACCTTAAAACAGAACTGTCATCCTCATCTTTTGAGAGGGCTTGAATAAGCCCTATCAAACTTCCTTAGGCATTATTAATGTTTCTAACTAGGGACATTTGCTCCCATGATCACGGCTTAAAACAATTGGGAAAAAAAGAGGAGTTACTTGAAGAGGAAAACCTCTGTTAATAAGTAGTTCTTTTCTTCCTTATTATTCATTACACTATGGTTAACTGGTTATGTAATAAGATATGTTACATAGTCAGAACTGACAAATACCGTTTTATGTTTTTTGAAACAGAGTCTCACTCTGTTGCCCGGGGCTAGAGTGCCATGGCAGTCAGCCTAGCTCACAGCAACCTCAAACTCCTGAGCTCAAGCAATCCTCTGCCTCAGCCTCCCAAGTAGCTGGGACCACAGGCATGCACCACCATGCCCAGCTAATTTTTTATATATATATATATTTTAGTTGGCCAATTAATTTATTTCTATTTATAGTAGAGAAGGGATCTTGCTCTTGCTCAGGCTGGTTTTAAACTCCTGACCTCGAGCGATTCTCCTGCCTCAGCCTCTCAGAGTGCTAGGATTACAGGCGTGAGCCACCGCGCCCGACCACAAATACCTTTTTATAAGTCAACTGTGGGGACTTCCTTCAGTTGGGAAGAAATATATCACTTACTTGAAGTAGCACAGAAGGCGATGGAGTAAAAGTTTCAAATATTCTCAGTCACCACTGTCTATTATCAAATGGTCAAATGTAATGTTACAGGCACAGTGGCTCATGCCTGGAATCCTAATACTCTGGGAGGCCAAGGCAGGAGGATTGCTTGAGCTCAGGACTTTGAGACCAGCCAAAGCAAGAGCAAGATGCGGTCTCTACTAAAAATAGAAAAATAAGCCAGACGTTATGGTGCGCACGTGTAATCCCAGCTACTCGGGAGGCTAAAGCAGGGGTATCGTTAGAGCCCAGGAATTCAAGGCTATGGTATGCTATGATCACACCTGTGAACAGCCACTATACTCCAGCCTGGGCAACAGAGCAATACCACATCTCTTAAACACACAAACAAACACACACACACTAAAAACAAAGTATGCCATGAACCAGCTAGCTGTTAGTGTGCACCTTTAAAGAGAAACCAATAGTACAGTACCCTATGACAACTGAACAAGTCTGAGTCAAGGGCGTGGGGAGGCAGAAAGGAGGGAGTGGCCAGCCTAACAGTATTGCATGTGTATTTTTTAAAGCCTTGGGGCATGACAAGAAAGTGGACTAGTTCATACAAAACCTTAAGACCCAGAAGGACAAGCTGAGAAAAGAGAATCAGGAATAACTACAAAACTACAAAGTAAGGCCGGGCTCGGTGGCTCACGCCTGTAATCCTAGCAATCTGGGAGGCCAAGGGGGATGGATTGTTCTAGGTCAGGAGTTCGAAAGCAGCCTGACCAAGAGCGAGACCCTGTCTCTACTATAAATAGAAAGAAATTAATTGGCCAACTAATATATATGGAAAAAATTAGCCAGGCATGGTGGCACATGCCTGTAGTCCCAGCTACTAGGGAGGCTGAGGCAGCAGGATTGCTTGAGCCCAGGAGTTTGAGGTTGCTGTGAGCTAGGCTGATGCCACGGCACTCACTCCAGCCTGGGTAACAGAGTGAGACTCTGTCTCAAAAAAAAACCAAAAAACCAAAACTACAAAGTAAATACACAGAAAAATGGGCCACATCTCAGAAAAGACAGAAGTTGGTTTTGAGTGAGCATTACCAATTAACACTACAAATAATTAGAATTTATGTTACTGAGTAAGCACAAAACTAGTTATTAATAAATAATGTAGGCTGGGCACAGTGGCTCATGCCTGTAATCCTAGCACTCTGAGAGGCTGAGGCAGGAGGATCCCTCAAGTCAGAAGTTCAAAACCAGCCTGAACAAGATCGAGACCCAGCCTCTACTAATAAATAAAAAGAAATTAATTGGCCAACTAAAAATATATGTAAAAATTAGCTGGGCAAGGTGGCACACGCCTGTAGTCCCAGCTACTTGGGAGGCTGAGGCAGGAGGATCACTTGAGCCTAGGAGTTTGAGGTTGCTGTGAGCTAGGCTGACTCCACGGCACTCACTCTAGCCTGGGCAACAAAGTGGGACTCTGTCTCAAAAAAAAAGAAAAAGAAAAAAAGAAGCTGAGTCTTGCTTGCAGAGGTTGGGTGTGCCTGTAGTCCCAGCAACTCAGGAGGCTGAGACAAAAAAATTACTTAAGCCCAGGAATTAGAGCCCAGCCCAAGTAATATAGCCAGACCTCAAAAAAATTAACTGATTATTTTGTTTGTTTTTAAAAAGAGGTTCTTCTAAGCTGCATAGAAGCTACTGACAGGGCCGGGGGGAGAGGCTGTAGGGGGAATCCTAACAGGGGGCTCTGAGCAAAAGGATGGAGGCAATAACTTAAGTGAACCTGAGTGTGCGCATCTGTGTCAATGGGCTGTTTCTGATAAACCTGACCTCTCTGGGGTCCTTGAAGAGTTACCTGCTGCCAAAACATGTCCGAATATGACCTCAGACACGTCTTCTGGAGCCACAGCGGCCCTCTTCAGGACTTCTTTGATGACAGTCGAGCCCAGGTCCTGGACAGGAACGGTAGCTAAGGCACCATTGAAGGAGCCTACAACACAACGGGAGACCGCGGACATCTGAAACCCGAGGGCAACGCAGAAGCCCCCACGCGCTGCCCAGCGCAGTCTGGAAAGATCCCCCTGCCCCGGGGCGGCGCCCTCTGCCTCCACAGGTTCCCCCGCCCGCTAGTCTGGGCCACGGGCAGGGCGTGCGACACACTCGCAGCGGCCGAGGGCCGGACAGGACACTCCCAGGGCGACCTCTTTGGACGCCGCCGGACCCCAGCTCTTTCCCCGAAGACGAGGGAATGCATGCGGCCCCATGCTTCTAAAACAAAGGGAGCCGCGGGTCAAGGGCTTTCAAAACTCTGGGGCACTGAGGGGACGGAGGTAATGACCACAGATTGTTGTTCCAGCACCCAGACCCCTGCCCCGCGCCCAGCTCAGACCACCGAGCAGCCCCGCCCCCGCGACCGCAGGGCTGACCAATGCCGCCTGCCGGAGCTGGCCAATCATGAGCCTCGCGAGAGAGCTCCTCCGCACGCCAGCCAATGGGGCAGCCGGGCGGCACGGTGGCTCCACCCCAGGAGCCAATCCGAGCACGATGGGCGGAGCGCGCCCACCTGGCGAGAAGGGGCGGGGCTGCCGCGCCGGGCCTGAGGAGGCACAGGCGCCTGGTCCCGGGAGTTCCTGGGTCCTCGCGGCCTGGCCGGGCCGTCCTCCTCCGCGCATGCCCCTCTCCCACGCCACACAGGTCTGGCCCTCGGCACTCCTGCCGCAGTGGCGCGCGGCTCAGATCCTGCGCGGGGCCCGCCGGCCACTCACCTATGATGGTCCGCGCTGCCGAGACGATCACCACAGGGTCCGAGCCTGCACTCATCCTGTCCACAACCGCCTCTCCCGCTTCTGTCGGCCCCGCGCTGCCCGCGAGTGAGGCAAAGCCCTTGCTCTCCGCCCACAAGTCGCGCCGGTGGGCGGGACCTGGGGCCGCCCCGCCCCCCGCCTCCGTGCGGCCCGCAGGGCGCAGGCGCGAGGCCGGAGCTGGGGATGGCCTGGGGGACAGGCGCTCCCAGAGCAAAGACGGGCTAGGGGCCCGCGACGAAGGGCGGATGGCCTTTGGCTGGGGATCAGGGGTGTGCAGGCTCCAGGGGAGAGGGTCAGGGAGGATTCCGGAGGCGCAGGGCGAGGGGTGGGGGCGGAACTGCGCGCCTCGGACGCCGCCAGCCACCTCCACGCCCATTTTCTGGACACCCCAGTGTTGTAGTCTCCTGTCTTAACGTTTTGGGGAGTTTTTTGTTTTTAATCTTACGGTTTTTCAAAACAAAGGGGGAGGTGATAAAAGAATATATCGCGTTCAGCCCAGGATTTGAATCCCATGGCGAGAATCTTGAATGGGAATCCTGCCAACTGCAGGACCGAGGACAATTCTGATGTTTTTGGTTTGTTTGTTTGTTTTTTCTCTCAGGGGCTTCGAAAGTTCCTCTACAGCTCGGATGTCAGTAAGCATTCCTTACGTCAGGAGTTACCTGGGCTCGCCTCTGTGCGAGACCCCATGGGGTTGGCCACACTTGCCTTTCTTGGGGAAGATCAGCTCTTAGCCTGAACGAGTGAGGAAGCTGGGAGTATCTTTTTTTTCTTTTTTTTTGAGACAGAGTCTCGATTTGTTGCTCAGGCTAGAGTGAGTGCCATGGCGTCAGCCTAGCTCACAGCAACCTCAAACTCCTGGGCTCAAGAGATCCTCCTGCCTCAGCCTCCCAAGTAGCTGGGACTACAGGCATGCGCCACCATGCCCAGCTGATTTTTTGTATATATTTTTAATTGGCCAATTAATTTTTTTCTATTTATAGTAGAGGCGGGGTCTCGCTCTTGCTCAGGCTGGTTTTGAACTCCTGAACTCGAGCAATCCGCCCGCCTTGGCCTCCCAGAGAGCTATGATTAACAGGCGTGAGCCACCGCGCCCGGCCTGGGAGTATCTTAATGTCCTACTAGTCAGAGTTCCTTTGGTTGAGAAGTTGACAGTTTGGTTTTTTGTTTGTTTGTTTTTAGTTTTTCAATTCTGTAACTTTTTGTTTTGAAATTATTTCAAACTTACATACAAGTTACAAGAATAGTACAAAAAAATTCCACATGTATCTTTCACCCACATTTCCCAATAAACATTTCACCAGATACATTTGATCATTCTCTCTATACACACATACATACACACAAGAATATTTTCTTCTGAAACATGTGACAACTTGCAGACATTATGCCTTTTAGCTGTAAATATTCTAATGTGATTTCCAGAACACAAGGATAATCTGTTATATAACTACTGTACTGTGATCAAAATTAAGAAATTAACATCTATATAATATTATAATCTACAGACAGTATTCCATTTTACTAATTGTCCACATATGGCTTTTAAAGAGAAAAAAATCTGATTCAGATCCAATCCTGGATCACATATATTTGGTTATCATATTTCTTTTTTTTTTTTTTTATGAGACAGAGTCTTGCTCTGTTGCCCAGGCTAGAGTGAGTGCCGTGGTATCAGCCTAGCTCACAGCAACCTCAAACTCCTGGGCTCAAGCAATCCTCCTGCCTCAGCCTCCTGAGTAGCTGGGACTACAGGCATGCGCCACCATACCTAGCTAATTTTTTCTATATATATTAGTTGGCCAATTAATTTCTTTCTATTTATAGTAGAGATGGGGGTCTCGCTCTTGCTCAGGCTGGTTTCGAACTCCTGACCTTGAGCAATCCTCCTGCCTTGGCCTCCCAGAGTGCTAGGATTACTGGCATGAGCCACTGCGCCCAGCCAATTATCATTTTTCTTTAGACACATGGTTTTTTAATTTATTGAAGGCCAAGTTAGTTAAATTTAATAAATCCAAAGTAAACAGCGCCCAACAATATTGCCCTACTTCATTTCTTAGTTTTTTTTTTACATGCTCCATTATGTTTTTAAAAAATAAAATTTGGAGAGTCTTACTTATTTAAGTATATGAAGCATGGTAAATTCTTTACCACCCATAATAAGATTCACAATACCATACTGGACTCTTGTTAGTTGTGTTTATTCCCATTTCTCATTTAACCTCTAATACCTTGAGAGTAGCAAGTCTCAGTCATCTTTGTATCCCTAATAATTTACACATAACTTTGAAGGGCAAAATATGTTTGATGTTTGAAAGATGTTTCAACAAGACGGAGAGAAGGGCTATTCGTTTCAGGTTAAACTTTCCATTAATATTCTCCATGGATGAGAAAAAGCAATTATACATTACAACAATTAGAGAATAATAGTGTCTGAACGTGAAACAGTATCTTTCATTGTTAAAGAAATGTTAGAGGTTAAATGATAAATGGGAATAAACACAACTAACAAGAGTCCAGTATGGTATTGTGAATCTTATTATGGGTGGTAAAGAATTTACTATGCTTTATATACTTAAATAAGTAAGCCTCTCCAAATTTTATTTTTTAAAAACATAATGGAGCATGTAAAAAAAAAAACTAAGAAATGAAGTAGGGCAAGAAATACTCCATATTCCACACCTCCATTATTAACCTCTGGATAGTTATTCCTTGATCAATGTCCCTTTTACAGCTAGTGTGCTGTGCCACATCGTATTGATTCTAAGATGCACATTTGTTCACATTTTAACATCTCTGATATTGATGGCATCTTCCTGTTGCCGTGGGTCAGGTGGTAGTCATCACATAGTTCATGGCATCGTTATTTGGTTGACAGCTGGGAGGTCAGTGGATTGATTCGGAATACCTCTGCTTGCAATAGGAAAATGTACATTTGAGACTCCCTTGGCCAATTTATTTTCAGAGCTCTGGGCCATCCAGGTGGTGCCCTCAAAGTCCGAGGTACCATCAACACCGGAATACCGCGGAGACTTCGAACCAGATGGAGAGGATTTCTTCATTCGATCAATCACATTTTCTGAAAGCCGGATGCCCTTCACCACGGTGATGTTCTCACTCTCGTCCCGACGGGTGCTGGCGGTCCCGCCCGTGGCTCCCGCTCCTGCCCCCGCAGACACCTCGTGCGGACCCACGAGCGCCTCAGAGCCCCGCGAACACTCGTGGGGGCGCCGGGATTACTTCCCTGCACGGCGGGGCAAGGCCACGACCCCAGCTGCAAGGAGAACGCCGGGTCTCGAGCTCCGGCCTCCTCTGGCGAGAAGTTGACAGTTTGGACAATGAAGGAAGGCAAGCTTTTAATGAGTTGGTGGCTTCTGTTTAAGCCATTAGGACTACGTATCCCCTACTGGGCAAAGTTCTGAATCTCGCCGAGCTTTCTAGGAACCTAAAACCTGGCGCCAGTTACTTTTCTAGTCTCAGCTCTGGGTGTTCCCCCTGGACACTCCCCCAGTTAGGCTACTAGGGCTCCTGGAGAGAACACCAATCCTGTTTTCTGCAGCTTGGCCGGCTGGAGAGAACTCCGCCTACTCCCTGATGGAAAGTGGAAGCCTTCAGTCCAGCTAAAATTCCTGTCCATTGTGAAAACTTTCCCCTTTCCCCTGCCTGCAGTATCAACCCATTCCCTCCCCGTGCTCTCCCTAGCATATAGTATACAACCCTGGGTGCCAATGACCTCTCCCGCAACCCGCAGTACAGGCCTCCCCTTTCCAGAGAGAGGTCTTGCTTTCTCTTGTTCTCTTTAGCACCTAGAATTTACTACATATCAAATAAATGTTAGTGAATTTTCATGATTATCGCCCAAAAGCTTTCCTTAACCATTCCCAAGAGCTGCATGAGGCCCCATTAGAGAGGATACAGATAAGGAGACTTGCAAATATTTGAACAATAATTAACATTGAACAGAACAATCATCAACTGTCAGTATCAACTAGGTTTGTTTGAATAAAGGGTAAGGACTTGGGTAGGGTACTCAGTGATGGCTAGAATTTCATGTCTATTTTCAATGGACTCAATATATTTCACCTCTCCCCTAATTAATCTTAGCCTTGGTCAGTGAATGGTTTAAGAATGGACATGTGACTCAACCTTGGCCATAAAGATGTGAGCAAAAGCTTGGGTGGCTCTGAGAAAGGTATTCTCACTTCTAAGAAATAGAGATAGATCCTTTTCCCCTTTGGATGTTAGGGTTTTTGGTGAGGCCTCGAGGGGGGCCAGCCCAACTGCAAGGCCAACACACTGAGGACAGCAGAGTGGAGATGGAAAGAACCAAGGCCTTTAAGGACATCTTTGAGAGCAACCCTAGAGTCCACTCAACCTCTGATCTTTCAATTATGCAAGACAATTTTCCTTACTGTTTAAGCCAGCTTAAGTTAGGTAGGCTGTTCTGTCACACATAGCTGAAAGCATGCTATACATCTAGTCAGACTTTCTGGTAGGAAATTAAGAATGTTAGAAGGTATTTTGTAAATCAAAGAGAAACTAATATGCTAGGAAGGAAAGGGTTTCTAGGCAAGCAATGCAACTTATTGGAAACACTGCACAGTGGAGTGCAAGGTGCAATGTGGGGCAGGCCTCGAGGAGATCAGCCACTTCTCTCCACAAAAGCCAGGTCCCTTAGGTAGTAGTAGTCACAGAGGATAAGAAATTGATAGGACATAGAATAAAAGAATACACAGAGACGAAGGTATAGTTTTATAGGTTTATATAAAGAAAGCAGGATAAAGCAGGGGTACTCAGGAGTCTACACTACCCTCTGTCAGTAATGCAACCTTGAGGTTAGATTCACATAGGTTTTTATAATCACAGATATCAATTACCAGTTG